TGCATGCATTCGCATCCCCTCCATTGCATGAAGCAATCTGCTTGATGCAAGGGATGGTGGCCGCCTTCATTGCAAGTGTTCCAGCTCGTCCAATGACACCCTTCTCCAAGGTGCCACCTTCAGACTTGCCACCATCAAAGGCCATGTCTGGATACCAGCTGTACTGCACCTGAGGGTCCGTCAAACCATTCCCGATGCCCAAGCCCTTCAAAGGGATCTTGAAGCCGGCATTTCCTTGATTCTGCTGCCAAATGTAGTGGGACACTGCAGGCACGTAGTGGCCGGCATAGGATTCTCCAAAAATGAAGAAGTCCAAATTCTTGTACTGCGGCAGGGCCTTGTAGAACTCCTGCATGAAATTGTACATGTTGCTGGCAACGCCGGTCTCATCATGGACAAGTGGCAGACCCGTGGAAAAGCCAGTTGCAGCTGGTTGGTCAACCCAAATGACATTGGCGTTGTTTGTCCAACTGTGTGGGTTCTTCTCTGTGCCAGTGCCATTTTTGGCCATGTTGCAAGGTCCATTCTCAGCCAACAGCGCAAACTGGGAAGAGCAGCCGGGGCCACCTGTGAGCCAAAGCACCAATGGATCAGTGGACGGCTTGCTTCGGCTTTCAAACATCCAGAAGAAGTACTTCGTACCCACTGCCACATCCAGGTACCCAGAGTGTTGCTTCACGCTGCTGTCACAAATTGTTGGGCTAGAAAGGTTGGTGCTGGGCACCTCTTCAGCCGTAAGCATGCCCTCCTCGTTCATCAGGCGCTGCAACTCACCAAAATCAACGGGTGGCTCAGGCAGCAGCTGAGCCCCCACCAATCCAAAGCTCAAGGCGGCGATCCACAGCATGGCTGCCAGGAGGATAGGAGGAGAAGCAACAAAAACCTGTAAGGATAAGCTAATGTCTGGGGCCCAAAATGGGCGAATTCGGCTTTCCAAGGCCATTCGGCCAGTCTAGGCCAAGGAATTGGATCTCCGAAGGTTGGGACTTCCAGGAAATCAGAGCATCAAGGGGCGCGTTCTCTTGGTCTACTGTGTTTGTTCACGAGCTACACTTGAAGTACAAGCCCCAGCTCATGAGTATTAAATATGCCTGGGACACCAAAATACAAGACTAAACCATTTCCAGGATCAATCTCCTGCAGAAAGAACTTCTCCTGGCAAACAAAGCAAATGCAAACAAACCTGATTGAACAGAAGACAAAAAAAAAAACGAATGTGATCAAACAAAACGTAAACTGCTTCTCAAGCACCAAACACACTGTAAGCATCAATTGCATGTATGAATCAAACAGAATCAAACCACAAATGCAAGCAAACCATGAGCCAAACTGAACTCTTGCAGATTTCGAGCCCCGTTTCTTCAGCGCTTGCCATCCCAACCACTAGCTCAGGCTCCCACTGTCTGCTCCGAACCTGGTATGAGTGCCTCAAAACACTGCAAAAGTTTGGAAGACAAAAACTGCAAACAATCCAAAGAAACTCAGTTAGCTAGTAGTAACAGGTGCCTTACTAGTAGTAACAAGAAGGTGTTGCACATTCTCCCCACGTCAGGAGCAACTGAAATGAACCTGCTTTCTGCGGCATAATGCATGATTGCATGCCGGTACTGTTTGTTGCTCGCACTGAAACACGTCTAAGCTGGAGACCGGCACACGCTTCTTGGCAATCCAGGACATCAAGCTACCCTAGAGGGTAAAGCAAACAACTGCTTCTGCTTCAGCTACATAGATGCAGAGTCGACAAACACCAAAGTTCTTGCAGTCAGCTCATGTGAGTCGTGTATGTGTAGCTCAGCGCCGCGCAAAGCTTTGCTTCCAACTTTGCTCTGCGTTGAAGAAGAGCACCTCGCAAAGAATGCTTTACTGTATATAAAATGATTAGGCGCAAACTACTATATGCGATGAAATGGCCTTGGTCTATTAGTTGAGTGCGATGCCTTCTCCTCGAAGTCAAAGTTGTGCACAAGTGCAACCTCATGCGGAGGACATGTGGGACTTTTCTCAGCCGGGAAGTCAGGACCAGGATGGCCTTACCCATTGGAGGCATGGCCTCACCTTTGTCAGACATGACGAGGATCGCGCACAAACATGGGTGATTCTAATACACCCTAGTCCGTCTTTGTGTTGTTTTGTCACCTTTCAATCGTATCATGTTGCCTTGTTGTGCTTGTTCCGTGATGAGATGGAAGAAATTGGTCACCGACTCTCTTCAGATACCACCCATCTTTATGCCTGGAAGATTTAGTTCACACTGAAGGCCACTGAGAAACCTCCAAACACAAATTCAACCATATGAGCTTGCCTGCAATGAACAACATGTCTGGCCTTGTGATCTAGTTGGAGAATGGGGCCAAGTTGTCTTGTCAAGACCACTGACACTGACCCCTAATTGCCGAAGGCTGAGGATGGTGCATGACGAACATTGACAAATTGGACAATATGCACCAATCTGCATGGATCATCGTTGTGACCGGCCAACACCCTGGTACTTTCACGGCCCAGGCCTTGTGCACACCGTCGAATTGTGGGTTGGTTTTGGGTGAAGTCTGCCTGTCTGTGGCGCCGAACGCAGGGCAGCTTCTGGTTGCCAGAACCTGAGCAAGCTTTGGAAGCTCGAAGCGATTGATCGAAGCTGTGGTGATCGATCTTCGGACTGCCCAAACTCAGTTCCTGCAGACTCATTGCTCCGCTTCGCGGACAAATAATCTTTGGTAGGAACCGAGTAGACAAGGGAAGAACTTCAAGCTGATCTGGCATCACTGACGTTTCCTGCATCACATGGCTGCCTTGCTAGGTTTCGAGCCTAGCCCTTGCAGGAGAGCAGGTGATGCAGTCTCCACAATACCCACAGCCACTTCGCCTCGCATCGGACGAAGGGCAGTGCTAAAGACGTGACTTGTTTTGGAAGAAATTTTTGCAGCGCACCAACAAATAATGATTCCAGCATGTTGGTTTGAAGAAATTCAATGATTCCAACATATTCCAACCAGCTGGCCACTTCTTGAATCTTGTCGGCCAAATCTGTTGAATGATCATGACCAATCTGTTGAATGACACTATTGCCCCGGCTCAAGCATCTGGCCAGATTGCTACCTAAACATCCTAAACCAACCTGATTTGCATTGCAACCTGGTAGACCAGTCTTCCTTCGTGAGTTCCTTGACAATCCTCTGCCCACGTGTCCAAGTCCTACGCGCCTCCAGCTCCTTTGGGGTTCAAGGCGAAGGACACATCCTGGGATTTCTGGTTTTACCGGAGACGACTGGTTTGAGCTCTCTAGTTAGTCTCAAATCAAATCAAAGCTAGTAGGCTAGTCAGCTAGTCCAAAAGGTGGAAATCCTCAGAGCAGGATTTCCTGAGGTTGGCCAACATAGCCAACAAATACAGGACTTCGGACAACTTGCTACTGTTGCATTTGGGCAGTACCCTGGGGGCGAGCTGCCCCGACGCCAACATGGCCCACAGTCCAAAGTGAGAACTTCCAGCTGTACGCCAGGTGCTCTCTTCCAATATGTTTCAATATATTCTAGCATGGTTGATCAAGCCAACGCTCTAGCCAGGAAACGGATTCCCTGGCTCTAGCGCTTGGTCTTGCCCTAGCGCTTCGTTAAGTAGCACACTTCCATCACTTCGAAAAGCATGCTGCTTTCAACGATGCCATCGAGCAGCCTCGGCAACTGGCCGGTGGTGCCTTTTGTACTAGACATGTTTCATGGACGTCCATGGTTCTAGTTCCTTGCAGCTACCTGTGAAAAGAAGTTGAAGTATTGCTAGAATCGGCACCAATGCTCCCCAAAATGATGATTTCACTGAAGGATCTGTCGTGTTTCTCAGTCTCTGCTGCAAAACACAAAGTACACATCCTCCAGGTTCAAAGACCTTTGAACTTGGACCGACGAGAAGTGCAAAGCAACTTTGAGAGGATCGTGCGTGACCAGCTCAGCTCAAAACCCAACAATGGCAACAGACTTCTTGGCAGCCCAAGAGAAGATCTCATCAGGAGATCCCCCTAGACCTTCGCAACGAGAAGACAAAGGCTGGACTTTGGAACACAACTGTGATGGTAAATGCAGCAGAGTTTGAATCACACACCCTACCTCACCCAGCTCACCCGGCTTCTTTTCACTAGATCTCATCCAACATCCTGGCTCTCCACGTTCATCCAAGCTCTCTGCTGTCTTCTTTTCTCCTCTGATCCAAGTGTCAACTATGTACAGAGTCCTTGACGATCGATGCCCCTCAGCTGGTCTCGAAGATCGATGCGGCCAAGCCCAGGGCAGCCAACGGACGCCCGACGGCGCGGAGAGTCACCAAGAGATGATTCTCAAGCTCCTCCTGTGGGTCTAACAAGATATTATCAATACATACTGTGTATGTATGTGTATATTATATATATAATATGTCAAAGTTTAAAAATCAATTAGCCAAGCTGGAGACCCCAATAGCAAGATACAAACCAGGACAAAAAGCACAATTTGGAAACAGCTGCTGTTTCAACACATCGACCATCTCTGACTTGGACACCATCATCACATAACCGTGACACCGTCACAACATGACCGGGCACCAACACAACACGACCGTGACACCAGCATCACATGACCGGGACACCATCGAAATATGACCGGGACACCATCGGCCCACCAGCTCTGACGATGACCCGACGGCGCCCGTCCGCCTATTAGTTTTGCAAGACCCCATAGCATGGCTATTGGGGAACTGTGACTTAACTTGTTATACAATGATGCTTTATCTAATGTGAATTCTTCAAAATGAAAAAAACAGTTGAAGGGACCAAGAAAGCTATTGGTTGTTTGCTACTACAGCAAAGCCAAACCTATGGACCTTCGCTGCAAATCCCCAGGCTGAGGTACAAGCACAATGATGCAGGCTCTGCATGGCTAGGTTTGATTCCTGTTGAGTCCCTGTGCTCTTGCTCGTAGTAGTAAGGCCAGGAGCCCCTAGTAGCGTCCTTGTTCCTAGTAGCGATGCCCTTGTTACTACTTCCTTTTCCTGGCCTCCTTTGCAGCTTCCACAATCAGCGCATAGAACGCAGAGCCGTCGGTGGTTGATGTTGGGGTGAACTTCCATCCAAGGTGACGCCCCTGACAGCGCTTGCAAAGAAGAATCGACCATGCAAAGCCTGCAGGGAAAGGCGAAGGGTGTTTCGCTCCTTCAAACTTCAAACAAATGCAGCAACATCGAACACATTGATGAAACGTCCTGAAACTGAACCTTGAATTCAGCCAAGGACTTGAAATTTTGCTGGAAAAAGGTTGTCTTGTGCTTGGAATAGTGAAACTCAGGCATATCATCATATTGACTCAGATACCTTTCCAATCGCAGGCCCACCATGGCCCACCTGGGAACCACGAATCCACAGCTTGCTTCATTGGCACCTCATAGAGCTGAGTGTCTGTGAGATCCACAGATCGCAACAAGAGGAGCTTGAAGGGCAGCTGAAGCTCGCTCAGTCGTGCTGGCTGCTTGAAATTGTAGAGGTTCACCTATCAAACAAGTGTCAAGAATAGAGACTTGAAGTGTCAAGTCTAGTTTGAGGATCAAAAAAAACGTCAAAACGAAAGGACGCGAACATTGCAACCAAAACATCCAAGACCACTTCGCCTTAAGGCCTTGGACTTCATGTTCTTCCATTCCAATGAAGGAGTCTGCCTGGACTGGTAGGAACGGCACTAAGTTTGCCAAGTGGAGATCCAATCGCTGCGCTTGGCATTCGCAATCACCAGTGCTACACTGTGGAGCATGAGGGTTGCCAGTTGCTGCGATGGAGGAGACCCGTCCCCATGCAGGCAAACATAACGCCAACAAAAGTGCCCACTGCATTTGTGGGGCACCGTGAGACATGAGCGAATCTGATCTGGAACAAGGCTGCAGCCTGAAACAAGGATTGACACAGCTAGATCCGTGCTAACAATGTAACCTACAAATGCTCCGTTGCATGCCTAGTTGGCTTTTGAGACATGCAAATGTTGCATTTAGAACGCCAAGCGGCGCTGGACGAACTTCTCTGTCAGCTTGCCCTGCCACCGTTGACGCCAGTTACAAAAAGATTTCGTCATAGTTCGGCCCACTCTAGATGTGAATGTGTTCCTTTTGCTGAAACAATGGTTTCCTCATATTATCTACTACTGATTGGAATTACTGAAATCAAAGGCAACCCGACAGCCCGCTTGTTTCGCGCTCGTCTTGCATTGCCTTAGCAGTGTCGTGCCTTGGCCCACTCTGCCATCTTGTCAGCTGTTCGGGGGCCCTCGTATTTCACAGCTACCTGCAGACTGGAAACAGTAGTCATCTGTCCCCTTACTACATGGATCTAGCAGCCCTCTGAGGACATTTGCATCAGAAAAATAAAACAGCTGGCTTGCTATTGAATGGACGGACGAACTGAGATGTAGTGGCATCCTGTCAGTCTCTCATTCACCAGGGCCCCTTGGGAACCGCTTGGCAGCGGTATACATCAGTATACATGCGGGGCAGATCTCGCGAGCGCACGAGTATACCGCGTTGGGAATGGGTCGACAAAATAACAGCGCTCCTTCTTCCCTAACTCGCTTTCGGGTAACAGAACCAGAAACCATCTGCACGGCCACACAGTGAAACTCTCAAGGTTCACCTATCTCAGAAGAGACGCAACTCAGCAGAGAAGGTCCCCTGGCTCCATCGGCCCTCCAAAAAAGAAACCAAACAGTATCAATCACTCCCTCGTCGGCCCCCCAATAAAAGCACAGCATATGCTCAAGGCCATTTGCAAAGGTCGAACACTCTAGCAAGGTCATCACTCACCAATTCGAAAGTTTCATTGTTGTCAACAAGGCTCCCAAAAGTGCCTGTTTTCTACATGGCAACCTGTCTGTGACCGGATCTGCATAGGGCAACTGAGCACACTGTCTGCGCTCAGGTCAACTTTGGCAACCGCAAAGTGAAGCAAAGACCAAGGTCAGAGAACCTCCTGTTTGCCATGAAGATCCATGGAGAACCCAGCAAACTGCAGTATACATCCTTCGGCCACGCAAAAGCTCGTTCTTCTAGTCTTGACAAAAATCCTGAGATCTATTGTACGAAAAGCATTGAACAGCTGTCTGGATGCAAAACTCACCTCAAGAACCACCTCGCGCATCGTCCCACAAAATGTTGTTTTGTGGTCCGTGCGGGTGCACGTGTCTGGTGCATGTTGGATTTTGTGGTGGAACTTTGCACAGCAGGGCAGTATATTCAAGGTGCTTTTGTAAGGATCCACGGCAAGGTTCACAGAGAAGGTGACTCGTCAAACCCTGCGCACGTAATTATGCAAGCACTGAAAGAAGTCATTAGCATCCCTTGAGCGCCAGCTTCTGTTTGGCGGAAGAAACAGACTCGTTAAGGTCCGCGGGTGTCAAAAGGCATAAAAATGATGGTTGGATGTTCCCCTCCTTCCGAACTCTTCAGAAATCCTACCTGATTTAGAAAACATCCCAATGTGTCGAACCACTTTCACTTTACTCCGGGAAATCCAGGTATTCTGTACTGAAAAAAGGGTTATACCATCATGTGACGCTTGTTGCTCTCGCCTGCGGACTTCCCCTGTAGAGTCTGAGTGTGGGGAAGGACCTCAGGCGTTCGGCAAGGAAGTGAGGTGAAAACAAGAAAGAACGTAAGAAAATACAAAAAGATAAATAGAAATGGAAAGAAAATAAGAAATGAAACGTAATGGATAGTTCTTATGACTATGTCTTAAAGAAAGTAAGAAAATAGAAGAAGAGGTGGAAAGAGAGAAGGTGTTTGGGTATCAAACGAAAATAATGTGCTCTGAGTGTGGGACTGCACCTCATGCTCTTGAGCCAGGGACTTCTCGGCGATCGCATCTACCTGCTTTACTACAATGACCACCGTCTGTTTCAAGGATTTGCTCACAGCAACGCTCAAAGAAAGGCCTTGGCAACAAGGATGTCGGCATCTTGGCAAAGCTCTGCCGTCCTATGTCAACCAGCTTTGCACCAAATGAGCTAAACTGTGAAGCTGCCCACCCACATCCAATAGTCTAAGAGTGCATGCTTTGATTCAGCGTTCTCAGCAACCAGTAGCCACCGGGACCGAGTGCATAAAGTGCACAAAGCCTTCACCCGCTCTCCCGTTCCACCCACCGGTCTTCTCCCATTCTGGCACCAGCTTCTTGCAGTGTCCACCTCAAAACTTGAGACGACAATGTGCGCAAACTGGGGGTGAACATAATGTCAACATGGTCAACCGTGTATTTTTCAGGGCTTAGTCCACTTCTTGCATGACCTTCGGTTGCCATGTCGACGCCTTCACTGTTTGGAGTGTTCTGCTGGGGGCCCTGTCACCATGGCGCATAAAACTCCACGAAGCTCAGGCCCGGCCTCGTCGGGTTTTTCGTGTGTTGGGAACCACAGGTGCCAAGAACGAATGCAGGAGGAATATGAGAAAATCAACCGGATGACTGAAGAACGAGTAAAATATGATGATAGGATATATCAGAATATAGACCATGTATGAACATGTTGTGTGGACCTAGAAATCCTATATATGTGGAGTATGTTGCACCGCGAAAGGCGGGGAGTGTCCAAAACTCTTGAGGTAGGTCGGGATGAGCTTGGATGTGCCACGGTCGGATGTGCCTTGTCACTGCCTTTGAGAAGTTCGCCTGTCCCAGATCTTGGACGGAGCCCACCGCCGCGGAGTCCACCTGGGCGGCGAACATGGAGCTGAGTTCGTTTCTGGACCTCTGGACCTCTGGAATTGTCTGGATCTATCCAGCTGCGTGTGTGGAAAATCCATGAGAATCCCAGACTCTGGAGGTCTTCAGCAGAAGGCAGAAGTGAGGGTTACTTCAAAAGATTCTACAGCCTTTCGGCGTCAAGAAATCAGTGACAACATCTTGGTAGACTCTTGAGGTCCTGTCCTTGGATCTACAACTGCTAAGGCTCAGGAACGGACAGCTACAGGCACTGCAAAAATGACAGCAATCCTGCCGTTGCACATCCCATTAAGCTTGGGCGTTGCGTCCCTTTTGGCGGCTTTGATTTTAGGAACCCAATCCACCCCATCTATTGAATGGTGTGGAGATCTTTGCTTGGAACCAAAGCAAACTGCGCTGCTTCTTGTGAACAGGATTCGCGCCTCCATCTGCATATTCTGACAAACCATGATTCTCTGCGGCCTCTTTTCCTGAGAGGGTCACAGAAACGACACTGAGAAGTCTGGTTGCTCTTCAGCTCACTTAAAATATCCCCTCGCAAAGAACACCTGTAATTCATGTTGTGACAGTGATTCCAGCAATCTCAAGGTCAGCCTGAAAGCTTGTGAAGCTTTGGATGGGCCCGGAAGCATGGCCTGGCACAACAGCTCAGCTGGGACAACTACACCCCACCAAGCCAAATATGAACGCATGATGAAACAAAGGCAATGGGCCTCCAAAACTGAGGCTATGCAAGCATGAGACGAGCGTCCATAAACTACCTTCTCAATGTGGTGTAAATGTTAATGGGTTGAAGATGCTTTGATGCCATACCGTAGTTGACCATTGAAGGGTTTTCGATCTGTTGTTGCGTGAATTGGTTGGCAGCACATCTCGTGATTGAAAACCCTGCTTTGCTGGGTATAGTTATATCAGTAACAATATGTGTTATCACTTAGGTCAGCCAGGTCAAGCCACACTTGCCAACGATACTTACTTTCACTTCTCTCAAGCAAAGTGGCTGAGGAATACAAATAGCTGCAAGTATATACTCTGCTGCACTGAAGAACCATGCTCTGGATCAGCATCTGCCATTGTTTTGTCATTTGCATGCCAGCGTAAGAAGCCAGGCGAGTCCTTCTGCCGGACCTTTGTCTTTGCCCACCCAGTCGAGCTTCCAAGTGGACTCACAATGTCATGGACGGAAATGCTATGAAATGCCCCGAACTGGAGCTACTTTGAGTCATCGTGCCACAGGTGAAGCACTGGAAATCTTCCTGCACTGCTGGTGGCTGCTAGCAAGGCTTCTGCTGAGGGCGCTGGATATAGTGGGCCTTCATTGATGATTCGCCTTCGAATGGCACTGTGGCAAATGCTTCATCACGTGGCGGTTGCCGTAGGAACTGGCTAAGCTTCTCCAAAGGTGGTGCTCGGTAGTCTTCATGTGTGGTGGACTGCCCTTCGAAAGGCACGGTTGCATCTCTCACTTCTATGCCAGACTCTCTCTGCAGGGCACTGCTTCCAGCTGCTTTCAAAGCCTCATTCCAAGGGGCTTGGTAGTGGATTTTCATGGATGACTCACCTTCGAATGGAACTGGTTGCAACGCCTGGGCATTCGGTATGGCGGCGTTTGACTGGACCTGCTTTACGGCAGTCGCTGGTGGTGCTTGGAAATCGTGGTGTGTTGTCGATTGGCCTTGGAAAGTGGGTGACTGCTCTTGCTGCAAATCTGTTTGCCTGAAACTTGCACTGCTGCTGGCTTCCAGCAAGGCTTCTGTTGAGGGTGCTTGATAGTGGGCCTTCATTGAGGACTCACCTTCAAAGTGGCTTTCGATTACTTCTTGTGAGGTTGCGGCTTCATTCTCAGTGGACCGAAGCCAGTCGTGCAAACTCTGTAAAGGCAGAGCTTGACAGTCAGGGTGCTGAGTTGATTCACCTTCGAACTTGGGAGCAGTCTCCCCTTCCCAGCTGAGTCTATAAGCACACTCCCTTTGTATGTGGCTTCAGGCATGAGATTCACAATTTTACGCAGAGATACGCAGAGACTAAAAGGACGATCTTCTTGTTCCCATATCTCTAACAAAGTGTCCAACTCCGCCTTGGAAAACATTGGAGGCAAGTTCTGCCCGAGTTCTCCAAGGTGCCCTGTGGCCCGTGAGACAACTCCAGCTTTGAGACCGTCGGCACGGTCGCTGATATATTCAACCACTGTCTCAATGGCCCGCGGGTAGCCGCCAGTAGCTCCCCAGGCAAGATTAATTCGGTACTCCAGGATGTCCCTCTTGATACTCTGCTGCAGTTCACCGAGCTTGGTGGAAAAAAGTTTGTAGGCATCAGTACCCAGCACTGCCAAAGTGTAAATGTAGACCTTTCGATTGTTGCCTTTGAACATCTCCACAGTTGCTGCATAGTTGCTGAGAGCAGACATCACGACAAAGACTTGGCCTCCCTAAAGGTCCATGGCTCTGCAAAGCTCCTGGCGCACCAAAGCTTCGTCCTTTGACTTTCCCGACCTCGTCAGCCAGGATCACAACGGGCCGGTCACCGTACCATCTGCAAAGGATTTTCACGGCTAAATTGATGTCAATCTCAAGAGATTTGGGTGTCTCTAAGAAGTCACTCCACCTGTACGGTGTCCTGCTCATGTGCCTTGCTGCACCAAAAAGAACCCGCAGCGCCAAGTCAGCCTTGAGATTCTCAATGTCATCTGTGATCATTCCAGAGTTGTAGGTGAACGCCGAGACGATCGGACAATCGGTGTCTGGTTTCTGCCATCCAGGTCGTACAGCATCGGAATCTCCTCTCCGATCGCGGCCAGGAAATGGCTCTTGCCTGCTCCCGGTGCCTGTGCCACTAGGATGGCTGGGGAGTCAGCCTTGTCTGAGGAAATTTGGCCAAACAATTTGTTTGATCTTTCCACGGCGTGGCTGGAGCGCAGCGGTGGAGCTGAAGGCCTGCCAAGAGCAGAACCATCACTTGGAACTCAGGATGTCTACCCTTTGTTCTCCAGGTCTGGTGAGTTTTGGGGCATTGTTTCAATGCCAAACAATAGAGAGAGAGAGAGATTTCAGTAATAAACAGAGATCGCTCAGTGTTTGGTATCTGGTTGGAGCCACTGTGTCGAAATCTGTCGAAACCTCGGGCCCCAAATGGACATGAGCGGAAAAAAACTTTTCAGGGTCCAACCATTTTTTTTGGGGGGGAAGAGGGCCACCCTCAGAACATTCCAGTGATCCAATACAAAGAGACCGCGATGATGCGACTGCAAATCCGCCTCCGATCCGGTGGAGGGCCGTGGCTCTTTTGTGTCTCACTGCAAGTGTGGCTCCGAAAAGTTTTTCCCTCAGGTCGCCTTTCATGTTTGTGTGGGGTTTTCATGCCCATTCATTAGTCTCTCAAGTTATGGCAGAAGGTACTGTGGTCTAGTGGTATTGTTCGCACTCCCCTACTGCAGGTCTCTTGTTTAATCCTTCCTAGGCGCTAACCTATTTAGTTTAGCTGTGTTTCTTTGAAAAGCTCGCCCCAAGGTTGAAAAAACGGTTCGTAGCCTGAAACGTTTATTTTTACAATGCCCCACTGACCCAGCGCCGTGCCACAAGCGAAGAGCCCCAAGCAGGAAGCTAAGGAAGACACTCCCCGCAGAAAATTTATGTGAGAACCAACTCCCTGGCTGGGCCCCAGTTAGATACCAGCCGAGCCCAGGTCCCACCGCGCCTTCCAAGAGGCGGCGCCACCAAGCAAGCCGCAGCAAAGAACAAGGGAAGTGGGTATGGTTACAAAAGAAGTGTTTGGTGTGGGGAGAGACATGGTGCCTGAAGGGGCCATATAGCGACCTCACCCAACAGTAGCCCCTTATCTGGAGTGACGTCGGGTGAGGTCGCTATACTTCGACCAAATGGATTAAACATACGTTTCTTCGATTTAGATGATTGCAATGCCTAGACCGATACATGATGGCGGCAGTAACGCCTTCCGGATCTGAAGTTGAGAATATGTCCTCTTGCATCACCTCCAGCCCTGTAGGCCAAGAACGACAGCTGCGAAAGTGTAGCTGGATGCCAGCAGTGCCCGCCTTCAACAAATGGAGCCGTATCCAAAACAAATCTGGCAAGCTCTGGGGAGGAAGTGGAGAACTCCTGAAACTATCTGACCTATAAATGTTCCCTTCAATACCATCTTGTTGGACAACTTTGTTGGGGAAGCCTTTGCGCGAGAAACTATGAACAAACGGTGAGAAACTGTTCAGGAAAAGGCAAAGCAGAATTTCAATACTGGGGTTGATAGTCTTCCTACATTGAAGACAAACCTTCAAACCGCACTGCTCCCTACATCCGCTCTTTTGTAGGCTGATGGCCCTCCAGCATGTGCCGCAAAGCTTCCAAGGGTGCTGGGTAGTCCCGGTGCGCACTGGACTCACCTTCAAACCTAGCTCCTAGAATATAGCTTCTTGTTACTAGTAGTCCCTGCCCAAAGAGCGCTGACTCGCAGAATCCTGGTGGAGAATCTTGTTTGCCTGACCATCTCTCAAAGCTTCAGTCGCATGCGGCGGATAATTAGTCTGCATAGGGACGCAAATGTTTATGTGTCAAACTTGCAATGCTGGTGGCTGTTGGCCAGACTTCTGCTGAGGTCACTTGACGATGGCCACTCATTCGTGTTCAACTGTTCAACCTTTTGGTGAGGTTGTGATTGGATTCATGCGAAGTGCGGCCCGCATCCGTAGCAGATTGGCCCTTTGTTCAATGGACGCCTGTGACTGCCTTCTCATTCACCACTGCCAATACACCCAAGTTCAGTCCCAAAATTCAGGAATCAAAGTGAAGGCGGTTAAGCAGTCTTGGCATGTCCAAATCTTCAGCTTCGGAGTGAAACAGCCAGTCAAAGATCATCTCCGGAATAGTTCAAGGAAACTTGTCCTCCGGCCGCCTCCCAAGCTGCCAAGCCTCCCCGCACACTGAAGACGTTTGAAATCCCATAGACTCTCGACAATCGGACTTGAGCCTGTGAGGATCGGCTTCCAGTGGCACAAATGAGCAGCAATCCCCTTTCCGGAAACGGCTCCAATGCAGCTTCCAAGTCCGAGAGTGGCACGTTTTTGGACTGTGGCAAATGTCCCAGACGGTACTCATCTGGCTCTCGGACATCCCAAATCGCATAGCCATTCTGCAATGCCCTCTTGAGTTCTGTGGCTTCGATCTCCAAGAAGGCCTCTTCATCATAGGCAGAAGATTGTTCAGGAGCTCGGAAATCACTGGCTGTTGGAAGGCCTCCTTGAAAGTCCATGCGGTCAATCATTGCTTCCTTGGCACAGGGATCCAAGGCGCCGAGGAAGGACACAAAAGCCAGCAAATCAAAGTCAAAACAAGTTTGGTAAAATGAATATGTTTTTGTGCAAGAGAAACAGTTTCATGAAGTTTTTGTCTTGTCCCTCCTCTCATGACGGTGCGGCTCATGTATGGCTTCATTAAAAAATATTAAGCTTTAACTCCTCTGCCTAGGTTCCCAATCGTCTGCTTCATCTGTGTCATTCACTGACAAGTCCAAGCTGGACAGGTCGATGATTTTCTCAGCTCTCAAGTGAATGTGTCCGCAGCGCCCGGCTGGTGAGAAGTGTCGGCAGGGAGCAAACAGCCAACAACCTGCAGGGCTGCTGCAAGGCAAAACTCAGGTCAAAGAAAGGCAATTTGATGGTTGGTCACGTTGCAAGTGTATCCTCCCCAGATAAAGGGATCATCCACTACCATCAATTGACTAGGGCGGCAGGGCCAGGGCATGTTTCATTGGCCTCAGCCGAGCAACTCCAAATTGGACCAGCAACTCCAGCGAGTCCAGCCAGGCTCCGCCGCATCCCGCGCCCAACCGACTGGAGACGTCTCCGGAAGGGGACTCGCCTGGCTCCTGGCACCTCACCGTGTTCGTCCCTTGTGAAGTTGTGCCCAGAAGTGTCCACCGTGACCCTTTGTGGGATTTATGACCTTTACTTGTGAGAATGATTTTGGGGGCCCTGCCTGGACTTGCATATGGCATTTACGGGGATGCTTGTGTATGTTGTTCTGTTTGCCTGGAATATAACTTGACTTGATTCACACGTGATCGCACGTTGTTGGATGCGGGTTATAGTGTTGTTTGTTGTACCTGGGATCCCCGAAGATTGCAGAGTATAGACATCATGTGCCCCATCTCCTGAATCTCTCACAATTGCCTTTGGGATATGTTTCTTAGTCATGTCTTTGGTACTTATACTAGGTATGAAAATGACAGTGCCAATGCATGTCATCCTGTGCCTTCTTGGACACCAACAGAAGCACACAAGGCGGCCAGGCTTCAAATTCAAGTCCACTTTTTATCTTGAGCGGTCTTTGACACAGCGCCAAGAGGCAGCTGAAAAGCCAGTAAAGCTCAGTCCACACTCACCTTCAGGTACAATGGAGATTCTTTGGCAGCCAGCTTCGCTGCAGGTCTCATCAGAGCATAAATCCAGAAATCCGCCTTCTTCGTGCCGAAGTGTCTCACAGGACACTCTACCTGACTCGAGATCTTGCCGCGTAATTTCGGCATGTTATACCATGTTATACCCACACAAACACAAAAAGAACTGGGTTGCTATTCTTGCACAAATGTATAACATGTCTGCAATTGGTTGCAAGCATGTTGTGTCAAATGATGGTGAGTATATGAGATGATGATGTTGATTCCAGATGGCACTCTGTATCTATGACTTTAAAAGTGTCCATCACTAGTCACTAGTACATGTCATGGCCAAAACTACAAAATAGTTTGCGGAGCTGTCGTCTAGCTTCCGTAGAGATTCTCTGCCAATGCCCGTGAAGTCATTTCCCCTGGAACTTTCATCTGAGGACGAATTTTGATGCAGGGCAGGACTCCAGGGTGATCAGGTGTCGACTCCACCTCGACCCGGATCTCCCAAACCCGGGCAGGCGGCCCATCACACTCAGAGGACAAATACTCGCGCACTTCAATCACTTCAAGGTTGGGCACATCGTCCACCTTGGGGGTGCTTGGTGACGCACTTGGTGCAGTGGTTCCTGGTTCTGCTGCACTTTGCTGGAAGAAGGTCTCGTAGAGCTGCGAATAGAAGAGCTGGATGATCAGTGCGCTGCCCAAAGCCAGCAGCTCGAAGCGAAGTGCCATGGGCAGCAGCGAAACCCAGCAAGACCCAGTCGGAGCAAGCTAGCTAACTCCCGTTTGCAGATAATGGTTTGCTAGTGTGAAACCGCTCATGAGGCACGTAGCAACATGACAAGTAGGGCAAAAATCGTGTGGAACTGTAGTCGGATCAACTGTGTTGGACTTTACACCACAAGTGTTCTCCCAGGTGGCCCCTTGATTCATCAACAGCTGCTGAAGGCAGAATCAATTTCGCTCGTCTCTCCTGGGGCCGAAGGCGAAGTGTCCTTCTGGAATCATTGGGGCCACCCATGGTACATGGCGTTCTTGCTCCTAGTAGCGATGCCCTTCCCTACTAGTAGATACTAGTAGCGTCCTTGTTACTAAGTAATGCCAGGAGCTACTAGTAGCTTCTTGCTCCTAGTAGCGATGCCCTCTGCTAGAACTTAAAAATCTCGAACTCTATTGTTAGCTCTTTTCGGCGGCTCGTGCAAACGGCCCAGGTCTGCCAAGAGCTCTGAGACCCGACGCTCAAGTTCCACTTCGCGCCATGTCTTGCCGTCTGCGTTGTTTCCGGTGCGCTTCATCTCCTAAAGGCCAGAGAGAAACGCTGCATGGTTTGGTTCTTGGGGGTCATTCCTTCCGCCTCAAGATCACAACTAGAAAATAGACTGTATCTGTAGCTTGTAGATTAAGAGATAGAGAGACCGATAGACCAACAATGGATTGTGATAGGTGGATAATGTAGCTGATTCTGAAAATCCAGTTCTGCATCCCACTGGTTCTAAGCATCTGGACCTAAAGCACATGCAAAGGCCTTGCCTGCTCTTGCTGGGTCTCTTTGAGCAAATCACACTCTACTTCCAAGTCGGCCGCTCGATCCCATGCATCTTCGAGCTCTTGTTGCATGTCCCCAAGTCTTCTTTGCAGTTCGTCCCCTTTACTGCTAGCTTCCAGATTTGATCTCTCGTCCTCCAGTTGCTTGCGAAGGGAGTCACACTCCATCTCTGC